GTTCCTATTCACCTTTTTTAATGTGAAATACTTCCCCATATTCAAAGTGTTTGAAGGTTTCTGTGAAGGTTCTCACTGTTCATATCTACCTGGAATAAAATGTGTAATCTACTTCCTTATGCTCTTAGAGCTGGGTTACAGTTGTGCACTAGGGGCTGTAGAGATGACTCTGAGGTTTAGAGCAACGCCTACACTTCCTGAGGTCCTGAGTTCAATTCTCAACAACCACATGGTGGCTCACAGCCACCCATTATGAGATCTGGTGCCCTCTTCTGGTGTGCAGTCGCACATACAGGCAAAACAATATACATAAAAATAAATACATCTTTAAAATCAAAACCGCATGTTCAGTACTTTTTCTGGCTGTTTGTTCCTTTTTGATGTGTGTACTTTCCATTACAACTTTAAATTATACTTCTTTAGTAATTTGCACTTATTTTTTAAATCATACAAATGCAATAACAAATTAAACTTATTTTTTGTTGTGTGTATACATTCACATATGTCAGAGTACAAGCATGGAGGTCACAGGACAACTAGAGAAGGCAGTTTTCCCCTCGCATGATATGGATTAGAGTCCTGGCTGAAGGTTGGCAGCAGCGCTTACACACTGATCCATGTCACTAACTCAGTCTTAGCATCATCATCTTCCTTAGTCCTTCTGCTCAGGCCAAAAAAAGAATGCACTGGGTGTTAACTTTCTGCTTAAATTTAAGACTGCTCTATGGACCATGAACCATAGAGGGTACATTTAAAAAGTTTATCCAAGTTAGGGGAGGGGAGAGGAGAGAAATGGAAGAACAGAGCAGGGCAGAGGGTAAGAGAGAAGAGAGAGAGTGAGTGAAGAGAGCCTAGGTCAAGAGAGGAGGAAAGTAAGAGAGCAGGTCAGCATTAATGCCTGAACCTTTCACTGGGTCCTGAGAGTCCTGGGCTAAGAAAGTTTTCAGTGTTATTTGATTTTCTTGGGGTGCAGGTTGTTGGTGTGGCCACCCTTCTTCTCAAGGAAATTGACCACACAGAGGTACAGGTGGCAGCAGAGTATGGCCTTGTCATACTTGTCCTTCTGGAGAGACTGGCAAAGGGATGGCTCTATGATGCTAACATACAGGGAGTGCACCAGGTTCAGGGTGGGAATCTTTCTGGCCTTTGCCATTGGCCTGGATTTAGCCATCCTCTGTCATTAAATCCCAGTCACTGGTGGTCAGGTGAGATCCCTTCCTTGTCTTGGGTCTTGGTCTTGACATTGTCCATGGAGTCACTGGGCTGGACCTCAAGGGTGATAGTCTTGCCCTGAAGGAACTTGTTGAATATCTCCATGTTTGTGTCTGTTCCACCACCTAGTTGAAGAGAAATAGAGTTCAGTAAAAATATAGTTTATTTTCCTTTATTGGTGGAGTAAGAGAATGATGGCAGGGCCTCTGGGATTCTAAGCACATACTCCTCCCTTGAGACACACCCACTTTATCTTGCAACGTTCAATTTCTGATCTCACTTCAAATTTATTTCATCTGCTATCTTTTTCTTAGGCTTATGCTTATGGGTTTAATGATTATTGTTGCTGATTTGAAACAGGTTCTCTCGGGGGAGCCCTCGCTCTCCTGGAGCTGGTTATGCAGAGCATGTTGGGCTGGAACTCTCTGCTTCCCAATTATTTGGGTTAACGTGGTGGGCCACCACCGGACCATGGTTTAAATTTTTTTCAATTGCTTGAAAATATCATATCATTATGTATTATGATTTGATGGTTCACCTCCCACCCCCTCCCTCTCCCTCTCTTACTGGTTCCGTCCTCACTGATCTGATTTTCTTTTGATTCTTCTGTGATCTGCTGGTTGTTGAAAATCCACTGCCCTGTCTTACACTTAACGAAAGTGTTTTCTCTTCCTCCCATGTAGTTCAATCTGTGCTTCCCAAATGATTGGACATAGTACCCAGGCCACACTGTTAAAGAAAACTGACTGTCCCTCTCCCAGTAGGCATCAGATGCCATCTGTTCTTCATCTGTGGTGGGACACTCTGCCCATCTCCGTTTGTTCTACACTGGGCTCCCATGAGGATTGTAGATGTCACCACAACCACTGTGAGCTCAGATGTGAGACTGTCCTGCAGTGCCCAGAAAAGTGTTCCTTGTCATTCTCTACCACCCCTGGGTCTCAACTACTCTCAGCCTTCTCTTCAGCAATGACCCCATTCAATAAATGTGTCACATGGGGGAAATTCTCTAAGTTAGCATCCCTTCAAAGCGTGAGTTCAGGACACACACATGTCCTGTTTGTCACATGGAAAATGAGATGGAGGACACTGAGTATTTCCCACTTTTGTTACTGATCCAAAAGTCATCCTTACATTCCCTTTTGTATCAATGTCAATATGAATAATTATCATCTTCTAATCACCCCTGGGTCTCAACAACTCTCAACCTTCTCTTTAGCAATGACCCCATTCAATAAATGTGTCCCATGGGGGAAATTCTCTAAGTTAGCATCCCTTCAAAGGGTGAGTTCAGGACACACACATGTCTTGTTTGTCACATGGAAAATGAGATGGAGGACACTGAGTATTTCCCACTTTTGTTACTGATCCAAAAGTCATCCTTACATTCCCTTTTGTATCAATGTCAATATGAATAATTATCATCTTCTAAGTCAGTCTCTGTTTGTCCTTTACTGAATCAGAAAACTGCTCAGTTGGTAGAGTGCTTGTGTGACTTTCTTAGATGTCTGGGTTTGACCCCCAGTGCTGCATAAATCTGATGGAATGGCTCAAGTCTGACTTCATCACTCAGGAGAGTATTGGGAGTTTAAAGGAATTCATATTAACCAATGAGTTTGCGGTTATCCTAGGCTATATCAGGCCCTACCTCATAAATTCTTGGCTATATCAGGCCCTCTTTCATAAAAGGAAATAAAAAGTTCCCTAGAGTATGTCCTGACCGTGATACATACATTTTATGCATGTAATTAACTTCAAAGAAATAATGAGAATATTAATCTGATGGAATGGCTCAAGTCTGACTTCATCACTCAGGAGAGTATTGGGAGTTTAAGAGAATTCATATTAAGCAATGAGTTTGGAGTTATCCTAGGCTATATCAGGCCCTACCTCATAAATTCATGCTATATCAGGCCCTCTTTCATAAAAGGAAATAAAAAGCTCCCTAGAGTATGTCCTGACCGTGATACATACATTTTATGCATGTAATTAACTTCAAAGAAATAATGAGAATATATTTACTATAGAGCTCCCTGATGTGGATATGTCCCAAGTATTTCATCATATCCATTTCTAAGGGGATATTCCTATCCCAACTCTTCTGTGTTTTGCTCCGTTGTGAATTGTCATGGCCAGTGTGTCCCATGGCTATAGTGTCTCTTTCATTGTGAAATTATGAGCAGCTCTTTGTCCTCAGTATCAGTGATGGGCATTTCATTTGAACCAGTCAGGGTTGCTTTGAGTGCTCTGAGCTAATTCACATCAACCTCCCACGAGCGCCACTGTCAGTGGGAACAGGTGCTGCCCCCTCCTGGTTGTGGAGGGGAAGTTACCAAAGAGTATTGTTGCTGGCTTGTGTTTGCACTTGGGGTTTGAGCTGCCTCTAGTGATTGCTACATTTTATTTTGAACATCCTCTATTTGAAGTATGTGTATCTTGTCTTAATTCTCCCTGAAGTGTTGAAACCTATGCAAAACTTTGTTGGGAAAACTCAGAAAAGTGTGAAGTCCTGTGACTTAGAATTGCTTTGCAATTTGTCTTCTTTAGGGAGATTCAGATACGAGGATTTGGTACGTGAAAATAACTAAATAAGGTGTAAAATGTATAACAATAAAATTACTTTTGTGAAGCAAATTAAATTAACTACAGACTGGTTTGCCTGCTGTTGCAAAAGCCAAAATTCACTCTGGAATGACTCTGTTATTTGTTGTTGTTTTGTTTTGTTTTTTTCTCGAAACAGTGCAAAACTGAACACCTACATTTGACATGGTTGGATGAGTTCCATGTGGTGAACTTACTTCAGATGACTGATAGTCACACATGGCATCTCATCAGTGTTCTCTGACATAGGTGGATTAGATGCAGAATTCCAGATGAGGCACCACATTTGCTGGTGGGTAAGAACCATCCAGGATGTAGGGTCATGATTCTTCTCCAAGCTTGCCCCATGGCCTCCGCCCATGGCACTCTAAGTCACCACAATGGCTGACCACAAAGCCTGATGGACTCTGCTGTGTTAGTTCTTTTTATTTTTTCTTTCAGATTAATTTATTCATTGTGTATACAGTGCTCTGCCCGAAGGCCAGAATAAGGCACCAAATCTCATTACAGATGGTTGTGAGCCACAATGCTGTGGCTGGTGATTGAACTCAGGACCTCTGGAAGAGCAGTCAGTGATCTTAACATCTGAGCCATCTCTCCCATCCTGCTGTGTTAGTTCTTTAACCCTGTGTGTCCATTAGTATTCGCCCAGCAGAGGACGGCTACTCTTGCTTTTCACAAACAGCTCATGGTGGAATGAAGGGGAGTCTCTGTCTTGGATCCACCTCGGTACTAGGCAGAACCTGAGGAGCTGGATCTTGAGTGTAGGATCTATGTCTGTGTGACTCCTGATGCAGTCATACCGTGTCTAGTGTGTTTCTGTTTTCAGGAGTGAGTGAGTGATTTCCTCTTCTTTTTCAAGTATATTCAGATCTTTATTACCTACTTTTGATTAAATCCTTTTCCATTTGAAGTATCACATTTCCCATCAGATATTTCCCTCTGGTTGGCACCTACACACCCACACCCTACCACACTTGCACACTCAAACAATAAATAAGCTTGAAGGGTGACATATATAATCTAACCTTGAATTCTGCACTCAGGTCTATGTTGATCGGGTCTATCATTCCATCCACATGCTATGATGTATTTGTTTCCTGATAATATATAGTTCAGGATTCTTATTCTATCCCTAGATGAGAGGAATTTTCCACCAAGCTTCATGATGAAATGAGCAGGGCCCTGTGCTGTCCTGAGGAATCCATCAGGCCTGGCTGCACTGACTGAGAAGTCTTTATGGAGAGCTGTGTGAGAGAAAGAAGGGAGTTCAAATTGAGTCCGACATTTTTCTTAGTTGAAATCTCACATTGGCCTGCCTCTGAGGACTTGTGTATCTGTGTCTTTTATCACCTGGCCACTCCCATCCCTCTGCTGTTCAAACCTTCTCTTTCCAGGCCTCCAACACTTACTGTGGTCTTATCCTTCTGGATAAGTCTGTGTCATGCACAGACTTCCTGCAATACCATCTGGGCTTGTATTCTAAGACAGAATGTTAGCAGTTCACTGGGGACAGACACAGAGAGAGCTGTGTGCACAATGCCATGTTACTGCCTCCCCAAACAGCTGCTTACAGAGCCCAAGGAGACCTCACACTAGAACCCAGTCTAACCTTCAGTCCAGAGCATACCTTGTTAATCTAAGGATGGAAAAACTGACAGATGGAAAAACTGGCATGGGACTGTCAGTTTCCCAAAAGTTCTAGGACAGATAATTTCTAGGCCAATATTGATGAATTCCTTTTTGGCAACCCTCCTGTGAAGATGGGCAGTGGGTTCTTTCTTATCCTCCACCAGCCCTCTCCCATCCTCTGATACAGGTCTCCACTTAGCTCACACTCTGTCAAAGGAAAGCTCAGCTCATTGAGTAACTTTCCATCTGTGGCTATCTCAGTACACAGCTATTGGAAAGGCATTCAAGACTTGAAATAATTGCTCATGTTAGGGAATTCTCACCTTTTAATTCTCCCCTTTGACCGGCAGCTGCAGAGTGTTACTGGGCATTGACCACACCTGTGGTTTTATTCTTGCAGGAAGTGAAACATCTCAGAACAAGCTGTGTCTATGTTTTTGGTGTTAATTCAGGGTATGAGAACACTCATGATGAGTTTTCCTTTCTTCGATAGAATGAAGCTTACAAGACTCTACTGTGACCAACACTGGAGGGTCATGGTCCCTCCCAGGTCACCAGTTGTCTGGACATGGCTGACAGGCATAGATTACTGTAGAGTTGTAGAAAGAGACAGCAACACCCAGGGCTGGACTGTGATGGTGACTCCTGAGAACAGGACCCTTTCTCTCCTGAGGGCAAGGGTGGTGACACAGGAAGGACACTGAGTGTCCTTTACTTTGTCATTACGAGATACAGTTGTTACTGCGCTCTGAGGAGACAGTACTTTTATGATGGAAACATTGATATAGACTTGTGCAATAATCTCTCATGGAAAAAAAATGTCTACCTTGTCTTTCCCCAAAGCATTGAATTTCCTTCTCTAAGGAGTGTAC